CCAGAGCCGGAGATGGCAGCGGACTCCGTAAGTGTAACGCCGCCCGAGAGGCCTCCCTCCGCCGGCGGGCACCCGGGCACCCCGGCTCTCCCGTGGCCGGTAGCCAGAGGGCCGTCACAGCGGTCGGTGCACTCCCAGCCCGGAGATTCAATTTAAAATACAGATCAGGAAGTGTAAATCTAAGTGGCTAAGCCAAACGTTCAGGCATTGTCTGTGTAACAAGCTCCAGCAATAATAAATTACTGGACTTGTTGGTGGACTGAGCAAATAACCTCTTTGGAGTCTGGTTTGTCACTGGCCGGAGTCTCGTGCCGTCTCCTGTCGTGACAGCCTGTGACGGCCATAAAACTGGCAGAGGGGAAGACGGTCAAAGGACAGAGCGCTTCACCTTGTGAATCCGTTTCAGAAGTATCCCTAAAACATTTGCTCTTTTTGCAAACGCCCTTCAAGGCCATTCTGATCAGCCCTCAGTGGGGACAGGCACTGGACACTTGTCACTTTGCTGACATCCCAGAAATGTTCACAGTCCTGCCAGTGCTGCTTGTGTTAAAGATCACGTGGAAGCGAGAGTGTTCCTTTAAATGAGACTTTCTTCTGATGTAATTTTTCTTCTGGGTCCCTCAAGTGACATTGTTTTCCTCCTTTTGGCGTCTTTTCATTCAGAGCTCAGTGTGTGTTACTGAGTGCCTCTAGTTTTCAGTCCTAAAAATACTATACCCGTGTTTCAAATGCCCCTTAGTAACTGACTGACTTTCACGTATGTTCAGCTGAAACACAGTTTTATGGAATTAGAACCGTAGTTATTAGCAGGTTCCCAATTAAAAGTATAACTCAACAAATAAAAAGTCAGAGATCAGAGCTCTTGAGTAGATTGTGTAGGACAATTTCCAATTTAATAAATTTTAAGAGAGGAAACTAATTTGAAATATTAATTATATTACATGGCTTCTTATAGACAATCCCCATCTGGCAGAACAAACCCCATGGCTCAGCACGCAGCGTCGTCAGGAGGATCGGGTCAAACCTCCCTCTAAAGCCCTGTCCTAGAGCAACCTTTGAGGTAAGCAGACTGGGAGGGGGTTTGGTGATCGCGTCTAGGAACCTGCCGTTCTTGAGCAAGACGAGGCACTGTCACGAGTTGCTGTTCTGTCACCCAAACCTGTCCGCAGAGTTGTATCCACAGAACTCATGTAGCAATATAGTTAATTTTAAGATATTTTATTTCTCTTTTTGGAAATTCTCTTCTAAGTGATCATTGGCAACTTGAGAAAAATACCTCCGCAAATATCGCCTGAGGACTGGGTTAGCAAGCTAGAGGAGACAGAAACATGGGTCCCTCGTCGTGTGACCTCCAGCAAGCCACATGCCCTCTGGGCCTGTGTTTCCTCAACAGTAAAAAAGGCTTATGGAAACGTTTACGTCACTGTTTAAGCTCAAGGACAGCGCTGGGACTTGTAGCGCCAAAGTGTTGCACGTGGCCTTGGCAGTGTGCTAAGCTGTATCGGGTGTCCCTTTGCTGCCTTGCTGTTGAGTCTCATGGAGCACAGTAACACAACCAGGAACACATGCAGAAGCCGACACACGTTTCCATGAGCCAAATGATGTTGTTGTCGCACATCTGACTGATGCAGCTGCTGCCCTGGTGCAGAAGAGAAAGGCTCTGACAGCCAGTACAGCACATCTGGGGTGGCTCCAGCAGGCAGGACCACCATTTGCTTAATGTAACTTTCTTCTTTTTAGGTTCTACCAAATGTTTCAGAGCTCTATTTAAATGACGTCCCTCCAGTCCCCACCTTGGCAGACATTGTGTGGATCGCAGCAGATGATGAAGAAACATATGCCAGAGTCAGGTTGGTTTTCTCTTATTCTGGTCCTCATTTTTATACGCTGGTTTGCATGGCATAGGCCAGACAGTGACCAAATGCTCACAACTTCCAGTCCTCTTGAGGTCTGATGTGGTGCCTGTTGAAAGACATTTTTCCCAAGAAACAGGAAAAATAAAAATTGGACAAAGAAACCTGGGAGGAATTCCTGTAAGAAGTGCTAAGAGCCTGTGCCATGTGTAACCCCTGTGATTTGTGGTATTTTCTGGTTAGAAAGTTGGAAAGCTGAGTTCTCGTGGGATTGGAACATTCTGCCCCCAGTAGTTTGGTTCTGGTCAGTTGAACTTTTCCCCTTAAAGCAGGGCAGTAGTAACAGGTATCTTGTAAAAGATAAAATGGACTTTGAAATCAGAGGCAAAACTTAATGGGTGAGTGACATTTCCCATGTGCGCCCAAAGTACTGCCTGGATGGAGACACAGTAACCAGGAGAGAAATTACTTGAAACCGTGTGAGCATGTCCAGACTTTTGTCCCTGAGTCCTTCACATCTTGTGCCATTGAGTCGTGTTTTCTGTGACAGGCTTTATGTTCCTTGTAATGCAGAGAGAGCACATACAGCGGCACAGCACGTCTATACGGTGGAACATACAGCGGTACATATGGCAGAGTGGCGCAGGGGTTTAATTCATTGTGGTGAAGTCTCTGCTGTCCTGAGGTGGAGGCAGAGCGTTGTTGTCACGGAGGGGTCTGGACCTTGTAAGTGACCGACAGGTTTTTGTCCTGTAGAAGTGACACTCGCCCGCTGAAGCACAAGTGGAAGCCAAGTCCCTTCACCGTTATACAGCGAAATGCTTCAGTCCCCAACCTGAGGAAGCAGGAGGAGAAGCTGCTCGCCTTGAAGAAACCTGGTTTACCAGCACTGAGCCGAACGACAGAGCTCCAGGATGAGCTGAGTCACCTTCGGAGTCAGATAGCTAAAATAGTCGCTGCAGAGTCAGGTAGGAACATAATGAGCTTTTTCTAGAAGAACGAGAAGAGCTGAATTAGTGAACCATGTTATTTCCTCTGAACAGAGTAGACTTGCATGCTGTTTTTCCAGCAGAGCAGTGGCTCCTGTTGGTGGGGTGCCATCTTCGGGGTCAGCTCAGTGCTGCATCTCTGTTTAGATGTTTGCATCTGTTTCGTTGGAGGAGTCCTGCTTGTTTTTGAGAAATACCAAGTGCTGCTTTGTGACTGCATTTGCTGCATCTGATCTGGAGGCCTACTCGTCTCAAGTACCTTGTTTCATGAAACATTTGGTGTATTCTTGCCATTTCTACTCCAAGTCAGCCATGAGCAAGAAGGTTACATCTTGATTTGGGTAGGAATGAGATGTTAGTGTTTGTTTCTTCTGTGAAAATGACTGTGGCATTTCTGTAGCAAATAATGTATTTGGGGAAAAGCCTAGCTGAATGGATTTGTTTATTTCTTTTAGTAAATTTGTATGTGACTAAAAGCCATGGTTTAGCCGCAAAACTGAACCGTGAGGAAAGACTTCTCTTCCTTTCATGGCTTTCCCTGTATCCTCAGCTCTGAGGATTTGGTAGGCTTGCTGCAACAGTGGCTGGTTTAGAGTGTGGAAACCGGTAAGATAGCAATAACTTCGTATCTATTTATGGAGTATTCAGAAGGCAGAGTTGTTGATCTCCCAACTTGAAAACATTGAACGGTTTTGCAAACTGAAATAATTTAGTCCTTCTTGAAGACAGTTTTTCTTAAAAGCTGCGTTTCTTGTATGCAGAATACTTTTGCCAGTAACCAAGATGACAGCTGTATTATGGCTGCTTTCCCAAGGAAAAGAAGGACCTATAATTCTTCCCGTTACTTAAAAAAAAAAAAAGCAGGATCATGCCACACTTGAAATGATATCAGACAGGTTAATTCCTGTTTATGATGGGTAATAGTGGCTGATGAAACCTTCCTTATCCTACATCTGAAAGCAAATATTTTTTTTAATTACTGGATTGCTGCTTTGCGCTGCAGTGCACAGGGTGTGCACGGGACCAAATCTCTCATGGTCTGCAAAAGACGCCGTGGTTGTCTGATCATTGTAGCCCCGGGGACTTGCAGCTTTAATGGCTGCTTATATTTAGTCCAGCTGTCCACAAGCCATAAATGTATTTGAAAATGAAACAGAGCTGTGGAGTTTGATTTAGTTGAAATGCTGGTTCTACATGAGAGATTTGGGGCGGTTCTTCAGTTCTGTGTAATGGTCAGTGGACTCTCAGAATCTACTTGATATTAATAATGTAAATATATATGCCACCACATGAGAACACATGGGATGGTTTTAGCATGCAAAGTATTATTTAGATGAGATGAGGTATTTATGATGATCCATGCCCACTTGGAGATTACCGTCTCCTTGTGCTGGTGTTTCTTGTCATCTTTGGTCCTGTCACAGTACACGGGATTCTGTATGCCACTTGCCTCAACTCTTACAGCAGCATGGTAAAATGAAGCCTCTCGGGGGTGAGGGAGCCACGTTACCCTCAGCTCTGCAGGGAAGAAGTGCAAAATGAGACACCACAGATGTCCCCTTTGGAGAGGCTGCGTGTGTCCTCTTTCTTCTTCATGCAAGATCAGAGGAACAACTGAATTGGAATAAAGAACAGAGGAAATTGTGATTTTTTTTTTTTTTTTTCCCTTCTAAGTGTTGTCTCAGCCCTACAGTTGCTCAAGCTGTGTGCTAGAAAAGTCCACTTTAATTCAAGGAGAGTAATAACAAGGAAAAATTAGAGATCCAGAAGGGAGAAAAATGATTTAATCATTTAATACCTTTTTCTCTCCCTCTCTACTCAGCAATGACCCTGGTTGTTATCAGCTGGCATTTCAGAACAGTTCGTATTGACTTCGCGTCCTCTAAGTCAATAACGGGGAGCTGTGATTTAGGGCCTAGCTGTAGTTCGGTAATCTGATGAAGGAGATAACTATTTAACAGGCTTATTTTGGAAAGATTGATGCCAAAAAAGAAATATTGTGCAATCTGCTTTATTATATACTGTTAAGAGAAATCCCTTAATTGGAAATTGATAACTATCTACAAGTTTACTCTTGAGGCCAAGGGCATTAGTGCTTTAAGGTACAATTTTCAATACAGGAAGGTTCTTTCAAGGAGATGCATGCTAAGCATTTTTCTAGGTTTTGGGTTGTTTTCCCTTAGTGTTTTACACTGGAAATACCTAACTCATTTTCACTTAATAACACTCGGAATTTATTTAGCTGTTCTTATCCTCACTGCATTTTAAAGTGTAAACAAATAAATCCCATCTCCCCTGTGGAATAGGTGGATGCTATTCCCGTTTTACAGATGAGATGGAAAGCAAAACAGGTCCAGATGCCTGCAGTCACAGAGTGAACTGCTGTGACCGTCTAGTGTAAAAAGCTGGAGCTCCTGAACCAGCTCTGCGTTCTCACCAGGCGTAATGGTTGTGGGGGAAGGAGCCTGAAAGGAGAAGAAAAGCAAGCAGTTCTCAAGGCGATGAAGAAAAGGAGAAAAATTAAGACAATTAAGACCTGCATTCTGACACAGGCTCCCTTTGTGACCCCGAGCAGCAGCTAAATCTCTGTTCCTCCATTTCTTATCTGTAAAAATGGGAAAAAGTAAACATTGCCTGATTTCTGCAGGGCCAGGGCACAGTGTTTGAACCAGGGGGGTGATACGGTGATGGGCGCGATAAGAATAGAGATACATAAGGGGGTTGGTGGGATGGAAGGTGCGGGAGAAGGTCTTGTGTTGCAACATGGTGTCATAGGAAGTAGAGTGCACATGGAAGGTAACACAGAATATGATGAATTTGTTTTCTTATAGCATGGGGGGAGGCTGGCTGATGATGCCTCTTGATTTATATTCTGCTGCAGGAAAAAATACCTACATGGTTTGGTATGAGTTTATCTATCCACCTATATTGTTTTCTTTTTCAGCTTCTGCTTCATTAACACCAGATTTATTATCTCCAGGAAGTTCAAACGCATCTTCTCCTTTACCTTGTTTTGGACCCTCTTTCCAATCTACAACTTCCTTTGTCATTAGTGATATCACAGAGGAGGAGGCAGAACTCGAAAGCCCTGAGCTCCCGTCAGTCTCCATGCTTTGTTCTGCAACCTCCGAGTGTTGTAAACCAGAACCAAAGGATCCTGATGAGGAAGATTCCGTGTCTCTTTCAAAGGCCAGCAGTTTTGCAGATATGATGGGCATTCTTAAAGACATTCATAGGATGAAGCAGAGCAAAGACTTGTAAGTGCTTCCTGAACTCTCTTGATTTTATTTTCTCTTTCAAAGTTTGTCATCTTTTTTTTTTTTTTTTTTGTGTCTGTCAGATCATTGTAGACACTGGACATTGCATTCACTGCTTGTTGGTGCTGCTCTGTATTCATGATTCACAGGGGGAAATAGCTGTTTATAGCAGAACTTGCCAACACTTACATTTCTGAGAGTTGTTTTGTTTTTTAAATTATGGCTTACCTGCCTGGATAGAAAGCGATGGAGGGGAACTTAAATTGATTACCACAATGTTTGGCTGTTTCAGCTTGTTCACCTGAGGAAAAAAAAAGCTCATGTTTGCCCTGATGGAAACCAGAACCATGCATTGGCAACCGTCAGGGTGAGGAACGCACTGCCCTCTCTGCTGCCAGTGGTTCCGGGTGCTGGTGCTCAGACCATCCTGGAGACCCAAGCAGTTGGGAAGCTCGGTAGCTTTTTCAGCGTGGCACACGCAGGAATTAACACGCGGAGGTTTTCAGCTTCTCAGCTTTTGCATCTGGCCCAGCTCTGAGTGTGGGCAGAGTGAGTTTTCACTTGTCTCATGATGAGTTTACACATTGATGATGAGAACGCCTCAAGCTGCTGACATGCCAGCTGCTGCATGGCTGAGACAGGATTCTGCCCAGCTGATAAAATACCTCCCTTCATGCTAGCTGTACTGCCTTCGTTTTACATGTGAAATCACAGTCACAATGTTCAGTTTCCACATTTTTCAGCCCAAAGATCTGTCCAGCCATTTTGTTGTGTGAGTAAGATTCCTGGCCAAAAAATAACATGTTGTGTGATGGCTGCTCGCAATTTCTATGCCTAATTCAGTTTAAAAGAAATTAAATTCTCAGCACTGAAAAAATTATATAGTCAAATGAGAGAAATATGTTCAGCTTGCATCCAGAATGTCAGCACAGTATTCCATCCATAATTCACACAACGTACCCTTTTGCTCTTGTTTTCCTAAGTGTTAAATACTACTCAAAGCTTAAATGCTCATTTGCTTTATATAAATGCCTCTAATCTTTCTTGGGGGTGAGTAGGATTTATGGACCACAGATTAATTGCTCCTCTTCTTTCTTCCTGTCTGTTGCAAAGCAGTGCTTTGGGCATCCGAAAATAATTCTGAATTATTAGTCAAAGGGAGAGAGAATTCTATAACTGCGCTATTGTAGTGGTCATTCACTGGCTCTGTTTGATCTAGAAAAGCTCGCAGATGCTTCATGTTGTGACATGTTTGAACCTTATCAGAAACATGTGTACCTCTAGGACTAAGCATTCACATGCAACAATATAATTATCAAATCTTCTAATTAGTGCAGAGTGGTATCTCAGCCTGCTATGGAAGCAGACTTTTCAGGGTAAGAAAACTACTACCATCTGTGCCAGATGAAGATAGGGAAAAGTGCATTATTCAGGGAGAAAAGAAAACTCGTACCAATACAGATCAGGGTAGGGAAATCCTGGGTATGCCAACAAGGCTCCTGCCAGCACTGGCCGAATCGCAAGGAGCCGGGTGCCGCCTGGGGGGAGGCTGTTTGCAAAGTCTTTGAGGTGGGGCTGGAGTAAATCCACAAGGCAGAAATGAAACTGTGACTTGCACGCAGGAGCGTGTATGAGCCACAGCCCCGTTCCCATGCTGGGCCGTTACCAGTCGTGAGGCTGAACCTGGGATAATCCTCTGCCCATGTTACCCTTCCGCGTGTGGTAGCTGTGAGGCGTGTCAGTGTGTTCTCAGCAGCCTCGTAGCTGATCCCGTGTGAAAAGCAGCGTGTGTAGGTGACGGGGAACGTTGTGATATAATGGGTCACAATTTGAGTTCAATTTCCCCGACAGAATGTCTGGTAACAGCTAATAGCAGGTGAGGGTGTTTGATCTTGCTGCTACCCTGGGGAGAAGCTGTGTGAATGAGTGGAAGGAGAGACAGCTTGTGCACAAAGACGGGATTTACCAACAGCGTTGATGTTTAATGTTACAAGAGATGGGGGAGAGCAAGGATTTTTGTAGAATACTTGGGAGGAAGGGGATAGCCACCAAATCCCTCCTCGCTGGGCTACAGTGGGCAACGGAACTGAATCACCGGGACCCCTCTCTCCCCTTGTGACAGCTTGACTGATTAGCCAGGGGCTGGGTGACACTTGCTACTTCTGCTGCTGCTTGCGTCGGGGCTAGGGACACTCCAGCAGAAAAGCTTGAGGCTGTTTCTTGCTGGTGCTGAACTGTTTTCTTCTCATCTGTTTCTCTATCTCGGCCTCTAACTTGTCCCCTACGTGCAACAGTGACTTTTTAGGATACAGTTACTACAGCTTAATTAAAGCTGTTCGAGAAATCACAGGTAGTTGAAAAATTACAATTCAATAAATCACTGATGTTCATTACTTGATGAGCTTTAATTCCAAGACACAATCCTCTAGTGTCGGTGCAGTTTTATGAGCAGACCCGTACTTCTAGAGCTGCGCTCACCTTGCGTTGGGTTACGCAGAGCAGTTGTGCTCATGTAGGCATGCAGCGCTTGTAGCACTTAAAAGGGTCGTGTACTTTTTAAGTGGATGAAGGTACCACATGATGCTTAACGAGATGACTACATCAGTGCTTCTCCGATGCTCCTATTTAGGAGTTGGTGCTTAAACACAACCTTGGAAGCTTCAGGAATGAGTGAGAAGCACTTGCAGAAATGTGTGTGTTTCAACAAATGTGAACTAGAGCCTGTTAAGCGTGATGCCCTCTGCGAGGGGAGCGGCTGAGTGCGTGCCTGCACGCTGGGTGCTCAGGGTGGGGGTGAGGACAGGTCGCGTGAGGACCTGCTCGGACTGTGAGTACGCCGTTACTTGTAAGTACTACTGTTGTGGGACTGAATAACTTAATTTGCCCATGGTTATTTCCTTGGCCCTTCGAGCGGCCATAAAGGGCTGAGACGCTGAATTTGAAGCTGGTGCTCTGTGCTTTGCTGCTGGTTGTGCCGCGCTGTAGGACACGGTACCCCTGGTCGGAGAGGTTCCTTTTCTCACCCTGGTGCGGGTTATCTGTCTCTTCGCTCACCCTGAGAGAGCTTTTCCTTGTTGATGAGCTGCTGTCTGTCCTTGCTGCTGTCAGTGTTGCCTCCTTCTCTGGCTGCTTTGGTTTCCCCCCATCCCTCTTCCGAGGCAGCTGACAGATGGATACTTGGGTAGCTCCCAATTCTCAGGTTTGCCCATGTGGAAGGAAGAGTTTGGGGAGGGCTCCAGACCCTGTATCTGCTCTTTCTCTGCACCCTTTTCAGAAGGAATGATTCTGGCTGGGTGAAATCTAAGGCATGCTTCTGGCTACAAAATCATCTTCTAAATAATGATGCATTTATGCAACTGCAAATTAAGAACTGGCATCAGACAAATCTGACGTAGCGCTAGGGGTTACCTGTGAGCAGCTCCATGGCATCTTACACAGCTTACTAAAAACCTTCACTGTAATTTGAGAACAAGCCCCTCCCAAACACATATGGAATTTTTTTTTTTGGGGGGGGTGTTCTTTTAGGAATGTTTAAAACACCTATAATGTTTTCTGACCGAGGGAGGACTTCAGCTATTTTTTAAAAAAAAAAAAAAGTTAAGCTCTGAAACTATTATTGCAGGTTCTAAACAAAACCTTAGTGAGCAATTTGTGGTACCTTGAGGAAAAAGAACAGGGTTTTGGCTTTCTATATAATAAGGTCACTAACACTTCTAACGTGAACTGCTTGTCTGAACTTGTTGAAAGAGGCAGGATGGGTCTGGGAGAATGCTACAGGAAAACTCATGTGCAGTAGCCAAGCAGAGGGAAACATATACCAGCTCTCCTTTAAAATACCTGTCATTACCCATGTTTAAATATGAAAGCATATATCCATTGTATAGCAAAATTCATGGAGGAAAAAAATAGTTCCAGGACTTCAGCTCAAACAGCATACCACTTCCAGATTTATATTGAGGGGACATAGGCCATAAATAATTAATGAAATTTTATTTTACTAACACAGTTGAATAAAAAAATGACAAAGATCTTTGATGCTGAGATTTTCAGGATACCCCTTGATCCACAAAATGAGCTCCAGGTTTTCTAAGCCAAGATGAAAGGTCTGAATTTTCAGCTGGTTTTTTGTTGTTTTGTGGTATTGTTCTTGCACCTCCTCCCCTTGCGACAAAAGCTGATAAATGCTGCAGAAAAATACTAAAAAGACTCTAAACCGGGGCTGTAAACCATCGATTTTGGCACTTCTCTGTACTAATACACTGTGCTTTTGTCTGCCTTGTAGAACCCGAACTTCAATGAAGGAGGAAGACCCGGCCATTCTTATAGCAGAAGTTCTGAGAAGAAAATTTGCTCTAAAGGATGAAGATCTGGCCATGAAGGAGAAATGATGTCACTGTCACTAAACTCTGTAAGCAAAAGTGTTACGTTCCCAGAATTTTCTCCACAGTAGCTGCCTTCCTAAGGATCGAGCCTTTTGCCTCTTTTATTAATTAGAAATGGTTTCTGCACTGGACACATACTAGGAAAGACCCTACGAATTTGATGTGTTTTCCATGTATTATATTTAAGAAAAAACTTTTTAAGATGATGGAAATTCTTTTCCACCTGTATTTTGATGTTGATTATTGATAAGGATCTTCTAAAGAGTGCAACAAGTGCTGCTGGATGACATTCTTTCTACCTACAATTTTCCTTAGGTTCAAATTAAGCATTAACTTACAACGACCTTGTTATGATAAAACTAGTTACCATTTCCAGTATAAACGGGTGTCAAACATCCAGTTCTTCCTCTGTTCTGAGTGTGTTACAGAGCTACTGAGAATAAGCTAATTAATTAATGCTTCCAGGTCTTCAGTGTTGAGTCACGGTGGTAAAAGGCATCGTCTCGATAACTTTGACCCGAGGGCAGGATGAAACCGCAGTCAATGATCAAACCACTCCGTCACGTCTGCAGGATGCTGCTGGTTTTAGAACGCCCTGGGTATTATTTAACTCACAAATTATCCCCACAGTTGCATGACAGAATGGCCTTAATTTCTTGCCAGTAATTTAATGTTTCATTAATAGTCCTTGTATTCAGATACTGTATTTTATTTAGCACTCAAAAGGTCTATTTATTGAACCACCAATGCTAAGAACCAAGCACCCACTGCAAGAGCTCTCACCTGCGAAAAGGGAAGAAGGAACTTGGCATTGTCTGTGGCTACAGTTCTCACTAACTGAAGAGGTTTCCTTCAGCTACACGTTCTCTGCGATGTTCCTCATGGCTGTATTTAAAGTATGATTTTTTTTTTTCTTTATATAAAATGGAGCCTTAATAAGACAACGGTTGTCCTTGCTATTATTAACACACAGATGCCCAAAGATGTCAGCAGTGTCTTGGGCAGGTTGGGGGGGTGGGTGGAACTCCAGCTGCTGAAGCGTGGGCGTGTGGTGCTGCAGATGAATGCAGTCACAGGCCAAGGATTAAATTATACCATCATCCCCACCTTAAAAGAGAGAAGAGACTGAATTGCCTCTGGCCACCCAGTGAGAGCAGAAATAGCATTTATGACTTAATCAGTTTTATGGGGGGGTTGCCACAGCCCTTCCCCTCTCAGCTGGGCACCGTATGCCACTGGTCGATGCGATCGGTCTCTCTCTCTGTCCCAGTGAGGCTCCTCTGCACAAGGATGCAATGGGAATACGCCGGCCTGCGGAGGAGATGGAGCTGTAAGCAAGAGCCCCTGCTCCGTGTGCAGCCTGGATACAAGAGTGTATCAGAGGAATTAACTGCTGGACTATGACAGAAGTCCAGTTGGGTCTATTGTACTGAAATTCTGGCCCAATGGAAAGTAAAGATGCAATGTTTTAAAAAAAAAAAAAAAAAAAAGGTAAAAAACTGGGTGGTTGCTGCTGACAGAGCAGGCTGTTGCTCTGGAGCGTGCTCATGGTCACAGATGGACTCTGCTGGCTGCTGCTCGTGACCCCGGGCAGGGTTTGAGCAGCTGGTCCCTGCACTTCAGAACAGACACAAGCTAAAGCGCACCCGTGCAGAACGCTGCGTATCCAAAAGCGGGTGCTCGTGTTGAACCAGTCGCACAAGCAGTGTACAGGCAGTGCTGCTGCTGCTACTGATGGGGCAGCAAACACAGTTAAACCAATACTGACCGGGCCTTACTCCAGCCCAGAGTGCTCGCTGCTCCGCTTTTCACCTCACTAGGCCAGACCGACAGCATCAACCTGCGGCACTAAGCCCTCGTGGGCCACCCCACTCCGTCGAGGTGTGTCCACTGTCAGGTTTACAGTTCAGACTTACCCAAAGAGATGCACTGTTACACTTCCTCCTCTTTGTCACAGTCTTCCTCGCTTTAAACCTCTGGTAAGCCTGGCCGCAGCAGTTAGGTGCTGTGATCCTGTTGTCCCAAAAGTGGGATCGTTTACCCAGTGTGCAGTACACCAATATTTTATTTCTTTCATGTCTGCACAGAGATGGGTGCTAGGTGGTAAGTCCTAGATAGCTGGTGTGGTTCCTGAGCTGAGCCTAGAAAAAAAACACCTTTAAATTTGTGGACTTTCAGGATCCCAAGAAATACAGATGCGTTCATTAGCAGCGGGCTTTCAGGCTGCTTGGCAGCACAGTACTTACTTACGCACCAGGTGTAGGAACGCTGAGCCTTGGCGACACTGGTTGTAATTGTGATTGATTGAAACAGCGAAACTATTATAACCGTACTCCTTCAAAACTTTATTTTCATTAAAGTAAAATTTTAGAGAACAAAGAGACACTGCCTGTTGCATGGGTCTATTGCATATGCTGGTGAGACCATCTATATATATATAATGAGTACACATCCCTAATTCTGACTGCTTTCTTACAAAAAAAAAAAAAAAAGCTTTCCTGAAACTTCACAAGAGATCATTACGTGACTCCATTCCAGGTCACTTCTTAGTGTTTAATCACTCTGTTCCCTTCCGAGTCCTGCGTGAACAGTAAATCATAGCACACATCTACCTGCTGCTCCCCCAGGTTGCTCAAGCGCCTGTTCGCAGCATCGCTGGAACAGCTCTTGCAGGCAGAGTCAGGCAGCTGCCCGCGAGAGCTGCCGTGGTCCTTGCGAGGGGACGGGACATTCTGGCAGCGGTGAGCGATGACTCTGTTCCCCTGGGAATCCTGGGTGAACAACTGCCTGCAGGGACTGCTCGGTCCCCGCTCGCTGCCCCATCCCTCCTCAGCGGAACCAGCACCGGTGTTCTGGCTGCGCTCTCTCAGCGGCTGTGCTCTACCTGCTCTTCGTGGAGATGGATAAAAGCTGGCAGCCCAGGCACTGTCTCTCGTTATAGCAGGATTTATATTCTCAGTCTCAGTGAAATCAATTAAAGAATTCACGCTACTCAATTGTTGTGGTTTCTTATGCCAGTTTGCACCAAGTCTTGGTTGGAAATCAAGTCTAGTTTTCACCTCCTCGGGGAGTGGCTGGCCCGCTCGCTCATTTATCCTGCAGTCTGCAGTTAAGCTGCCGCTCGCTGAAACTGTTTCTCCAGCAAATACATCATCGGACTCGTTTCTGTGAGCGATGATCCGGTTGCCCTCTGAATCCTGGGTGAAGCTGAGGCAGCAGCAATCCCCTCCCACCCCAGAGGAGGCTTCGCTCTTGCCGCGGGGCTCCGTGTGTACCTGCCAAGGAGTCGGCGAGGCCGGCGCTTTCTGTGCACGAGGCCGGGGTGTCACCTGCACCAGCTCCACCTCGGTTCTGAAGGATTGTCTCTGCGCTTCCTCCATCCGCGGCAAAGCCAAGATCTTCACAGGGGAGGCAGCCAAGGAAATACCTTTTTCTTTACAGTCGTTATTCAGGATAAAAGGAGATGGCATGGAGTTCTCTTTGTCTTTTTCACCTGAAAACAACAGGGAATTGGTTAAAGCCAGAGCTGGCACACACATTTCTCAAAGTTAGTAACTACACACAGCTCCAGCCCTTGATGCTGGACTTGGAACTGCTGCTTCACTGCTCCTTCAAGTGGCGCCATACAGACAGTTCTCACCAGCCAACACGGCCTCTGCCTCAAGAACCTGGGTTTGTGGTGCCGAGGCTGCAAGGGAACGGCAGGAGGGACCACTTTAGTTCAACGCTGTAAAAGGTGCTGGCATTTAGATGAACCATCACAATAACATTCTTTCTGGGAGTTCAAGCCTTTAACCTTTAGGTTTCACTAGAAAATTTCTGCCTAGTAAAGCTGCCAAGAAATAAAACAGGATGGGTTTCCAGCCTGAAACTACTTCCCTACAGGGGACACGCTGTTCCACGTTACCTGTCTGAGTGCTGAAGAAGACGGGGATGGTGGTTTGCTTGGTGCAGGGCTGAGATGCTCTTGTCTGCGTGAAAGCGACTGAGGCGTGCTTCCTTTCCAGAACTCGACTAGATACTTTTGGCTTGGCTACGAGA